TGATCAACCGGAACGGTTTAAAGTCAAGAGGAAAGACGGAAATCATATATATATTGGGGATAGAGAAAGATATTAATTTTTACATTGCTCAGCTATACTCGAGCATAGAGAACATATTTTGTTGCAATTTTTTTATAAAAAGAATTTTAATACTCACTGACCGACATACAAGAAGTATTATAAGTATTATATGGAAGTAGAGGGTAGCATTTACCCAATTTTATCAATTTTTGCCAATAATACATACTACTAACATGCCACAGACTAATAAAATGCTCTCACTGCTTCATTAAGGTACCTCACATAGCATCACCAATGGAGTAAAGTCAAACGAATGTTCGAAAATCCTGATATTAGTTACATGGGGGCCAGGTAAAATTTTCACTCGATTTCATTCAGCTTAGGCACAAAAATACCTTGTTATGAGTAAAACACGCTCTCTCATTTTCATCGAGATAACTCACATATTGGCCGATATATGCGGTATAAAGTCATCCGGAAGTTTAAAAATCTTTATATTAGGTATATGAGGGCTATAGGAAGTATTGATTCGATTGAACCCAGTTTTTGACACAAACATACTATTATTGAGAGTTTTATTTATTTATTTTATTATATGAATTTCAATTAAATGTCTTACACATTGACCGATATTTTCGCCAAAAAGGCAACTATAGGCACTGGGGTCAACAAATTCAATATCTAGGGACTTAAATAGTTTTGGTATGATTTAGACAATTTTTGGTCACAAGGTGGCATACTTCAAATGCATTATTCACGCAAAGTTTTACCCCGATACAATCGTTGTTGTTTGATTTGCATAGTGGAAAGTGAAAAAATCAGATGGAATTTAAAATGGGGTTATATGGGAAATAGGCGTGGTTGTAATCCTATTTCGCTCATTTTCACACTATAGCATAGAAATATGAAAAGAATATCATTTCCGATGTGTTTTTACCTAAAAGTGGGCGGTGCCACGCCCACTGACTAATTTTGAACTTGGTTCCTATGAAGTCATTTCACACCATCCAAGAGATACAAATTTAATGTCTCTGGCTTGCTTAGTGTTTTAGCAGTGCCGTTATATGGGGAGTGGACGAGGTTGTAATCCGATTTCACCCATTTTCATACCGTAGATAGAGGTGCTAAAAGCATTTGTTCTCAGTGAATTATGTTATTACAGCTGTAGCAGTTTAGGAGCGGAACCACGCCCATTAAAAAAAAAAATTAACCACAGATGCCCCTCCCTAATGCGATTCTGTGTGCCAAACACCAGCCTTGTATCTTATTGTAGAGCTTAGTTATGACAATTTATTTGTTTTTGCTTAATAGAGTTTTGTGGGCGTGGCAGTGGTCCGATTACGTCCATCTGCTACACCAACCGTTTTGCGGAATCAAGAAACATGTATACCAAGTTTCATAAAGATATCTTAATTTTTACTCAAGTTACAGCTTGCACAGACGGACGGACGGACAGACAGTCACCCGGATCTCAACTCGTCTCTTCATCCTGATCATTTATATATATATATCCCAATATCTAACTCAATTAGTTTTAGGTGATACAAACAACCTTTAGATGAACAAAACTATTATACTCTGTTGCAGCATGTTGCCAGAGTATAAATAAAAAGCAGTACCGCAGACGATATTCGAGCAACTTTGTCTAATCAGTGAACTCAAACATCTATTGTTGTTTACTTGCTTCAAATGTTCATATATTTATATCTGAATATTCATGAAATTGCCTTCCTTCATTCGCATGGCTAAATATATTTGCATATATGTCAACAGATGTACATATGTATGTATGTATATCCCTCAATATGCCTTTTGTAAAAAAATCAAACTCCCGCAAGCGACAAAAAAAATGCAGACGCACCATCATCAACCAATAAGACTCGAGCCAACTCGCACCATATTTTCTAAGTATTTCATATTACAACGACAACAAGTTCATTCATAAGCAACGTGCGTCTGCTTCAAAGCAAAGTGCGTTCGCTCATATTTCTGCGCCGCGCTATTTTTTGGGCGAATGGTCAAATACATTTGGTTTTCCTTTGGAATTCCTACACAAATGTGCGAAAATTAAATTTATAAAATGAATGAATGAAATTTAATTTGAATATTTCAGAAAAACGAGAAAAATTCTATTTTAGAATTTGACCACTGAAAATCCATATAGTACTTTTATATGTTTACTTATTATCATTGCTACATAGTTTGTCGATTTAGCCCATTTTATCTAAAAACGACCCTATGAAAATGCAGCCCAATCGGTAATCGCAATATTTCAAAAGAGCATAATAATAATAGTTAATAGTTTAAAAATAAATGTTGGCCGACCCGTCAGACCTACCCCATAAGCACACCAAATTTCATCAAAATCGGTACAGCCGTTTCGAAGGAGTTTGGCAACAAACACCGTGACGTGAGACTTGTACATATTCTATTTAACATGTATCTTATATACATTTTATTGTTTCTTAAACTATTTACTTTCTATCTTATATTATTTACATAATTCTAAAGTCTACGATTTATAATGTACATAAGTTAATAGGATACCAAGTTTGATTGCAATCCATTCGGTTTCTTTGAATAATGCATGTTGAATTGGTTCGCAACACATTTAAATATAAATAATATAAAGTTTTGTCAACGCCTGAAGGTATCTCCCCACCTTTGATCCATGCAAGAACTTAAGCCCTCTCTTACTTGGTGTTTTTTTTTGTTTAATTTTATTGAAAAAGCTATATAATTTACTAGTAATGAAGTTAATACAAATTTGAACAATTAACACCACATATCAGGAATTTACCTTCGTGTAAACTTCTGTTAGGATTTGGTACTCAGAATGTATGTATATCGATCAATTTGGAAGGAGTCTTAACAATATTAAGTAGAAATAATAGAATGAACATACTGTCGTTTTGAGCCAAAACAAAATAAATCTGCTTTTACCAAATATATCAATCAATGTGTGAGTTATATATAATTCTTCTGCAGCATACTACATTTGTCTAATGCCAATAGAAGACGGATTTGATGGCCAATGAAGGGATCCACCTTACGGCTGCCTTTTGTCGTATTTATTGGTGAATTTGTGATATAACTTACTGAAATTTAGTGGATATATTTTCTTGGCACCAATCTTCCTCGTTGTTAAGTATGAATGAAATTGGTCCCAAATATTTCCACGTTGTTAATTTAATTGGTTCATAATTTTGTCTATGACCGAGTGATGAATTCCGGATGACTGTCCGAACATTCATCCGTCCGTCTATCTATACGAGTGATAACTTGAGTAAGAATTAAGATACTTTAATGACTCTTGGGGAAACTTCGAAAAAGGCCGGGTACCAGAGCTTACCTTTGACCGTATCAGAGAGAATGGTAGCATCTAGCAAGCGGCGGAACGGTACAGCAGTCGACTTAGTGCTGTTTAAAGGAAACCCTTCATCACCTACAATGTGAAATAGGGCTGGATGACACCATGGGCTTTATAAGCTAGTAGAGATGAAGCAGATTGGGGGCTGTGAAAAAGGCGGATTTCCACTTAGACACCCTTCTGTTGGACAATAGAGCTCTCGGAAATGCGAAAGGGTTGAGGGCTGTCATAAATGATTAAAATTCAGGTGAATACTCGCAGAACACCCCATCCATATGGATTTCATTTGAGATTGAAACGGAAATTGCGCACCCAACCCTTGTACCTTTCGGAGTGTTGAACCAAGATTGATTTAGCTTTGAATTAGATAATGGTTGTAAGCAACCTGCTATATAAGCTTGAGGTACAAAGCTGCCTCTGTAGGTGAGCTAGCCATCATTGTCAAGGGAAAGTTCCTGAGTACCGTGTATGAGCTTACTCAGAGGTAACTCAGTATCGCAATAAACTGGGCGAATGGAAGTGGCCTTACCATAAACCAAAGTAACAACGTTCAATGCGGTATATAAAACCCCGACGGCACTACTGCCGCGCATGGGAGAAATTCATCCCCAACCTGTAGATAAGATGAAATATTTTGAGCTCATCTTAGATAGGCTGCATTCTTGGAAGAATAACATTGAAAAGAGAGCAAGAAATTTATTGCACTTGTACTACTTAAGAGGAGGCGACAAGTGGAGTCTCTCACCGAAAGTAGTCTTCTGGCTCTACGGCCCAATAGTTATTTTAGTTAAGTTCCACGGGGTCTTTGTGTAGTGGAAAGCGTTAAAAATTGTACTTTTACTAGGAAACTCGAGAGCATTCCACGGGCCGTGATCACCAGCATGTGTTCTGCATTTTTTACATAGAATCCAACGACATATCCGGAAGGTGTTTGCGCGTGAAAGTTCCAAAATTCTCGCATGCTTTGACTTCATATCGGACTATTTAATCACCTCAGCCTCACTGTCGTTGGTGTGGGAATGGATCGGAGCTCCCCTGTCTTCTTGGGAGTTACTATTGGACAGCTAGAACTGGCGGGAGCTTCGTGAGCGGTATCTATGCGCTCACATGATCCTTCTAGCCCAATGTCAATCGCAAGAGAACCAGAAAGCCCTTCGCCCTCAGCAAGGTTCAGCTTTCCCTGCGGGAATAGAAGTTGAACGCCTAAGCACATTTCTAATGGGTACAAGGCGCTTTGTTCACACTTAAAAGCTAATTATTTAAGTTCCTTTTCTGAATTCGCAAAGGACTGATCATAATCAGCCTCGTAACCAAACCTAACTTGTTGCAACAGAGTATAAAATAATTGTTGTCTTACTATAAAAATTTTAGTGTTAACTGTTCAACTTCACTGGAAAGCAGGCCTATCTTACTTGTCTAGTATAAATATTTACTTTGAATTGCTGATGGTGTACATAGGTGTTACATTTTTACGAATTGGGAAAGTATATAAAATATATCAGCGGAAAGTTATGTTTACTGAATTTCTAATCTCTCACAAACAATTTGGTGTCGATATGACTAAGGTCTTAAAAGAAATTATTGTTTTAGGTAAATGTATTCGTGCTACCTGTTGGACTGTAGTGGAAAGAAAAGTTGATACGGCAGAAGATGGAACGGGTGTGGATACTAAAGGTTGTTGTCCTTCCGTCAGACTTTTGCCATTAAACTTTGAACAATTAATATGAGTTACGTTTCCGCGTAGAATACGAATTCCTAATGTCGAATCATTTATTTTGTTATATGATGATAGGCTGCAAGCATTCAGAGAACTGGGAACTATGGAGTTGCGAGTGCTTAAAGAAATATCTGGAAATATATTAAAAAATGTTTTATATATAAATAAAGATTGTAGCAAGTTGTAGTATATTGATTAATATATAATATAATACTACTTAAGAAAAAGAAGAAAGTTTAATAATTCCTAGAAAATATTTCACATTGAGTTGAATTCACTCATAAATCTATCTATGTAAATATATTTGTTTACTTAAGCACACGTAACCTACACCCGCAGACTCGTTGGGGATTGAAAACTTACTTGCTGTCTAAGAGATATCCTCGAAATAAGGGACTCATAACAAATTCGCGACCCTGAAAAAGGGCAAACAACGGTTACAGAGAAAAAAGGAGCAACAGTTGAACATTCTGAAGTAGTCCTTGAAAGACATGAAGCAGTACAAATTAGAGTTCGTCCTCAATTCCCACAACAGTCGGTTCTACGTTACCGGAATTGACCCGGATTTTATCCTTCCAAGGGCTGTTATTTCGGCGATCGAACCCTGTTTGGATCGGTAAGTTCTACAAGTAGATTAAGTTTGTCGTCATTGGAGCAACGCCTGGCAGCAGGGTCGCTCCGTATCCTCCTGACCCGTGCTGGCATTGAGTCCAACCCGGGCCCCGAGGAATTTTATTGCTGCGTTTGCGTTAGAAGGCTTCAGACTTGTTCAGGCCTTAAGACACACAGGGAGTGGACCACGAGTTACGTGACCCAATGCTGTCAACGTAATAATGCGACATCTGCCTCAACGGCTGTGCAACCTCCATCATGTTCGCGCACTGCGCCGCCACTCCAGTCGAATGGCCAAGATAGGACCTCCACGGCCCTAAGGAGCTCACACAGACAGCATGACTCCCAATCTGACCAACTTTCATCCAGCTCCAATCCTCGTGCGAGAGCTATCCTGCAACTCCTTGTTCCTCGCACAGTCTGTTCCGTTTTTCAGACCGCAATACGCCGGAATGTCACGTCAGTCAAGTGCAATTCTTATACTGGCTGGTGTCACTTTCTTTATGTGTTTCGGTCTGCGCACCACACGGTCAGGCGATGTCGAGCTCGAAATATTTAATATATACATCCCCCCAGTTACATGTTGCCCAACAGGATATCACCCGAACATAGATGCGCTGCTTCGTGGTGAAAACCGTTTGATGCTAGGCGACTTTAACGCGCATCACGATCTTTGGCATTCCTGCCTGTCAGACGATCGTAGGGGGATGGAGCTGGCGGAATAGATTGACGATTCACAATGAATAATAAAGCCCCCACCAGAATTATGGGCACTTGTAATAGCTCGTCAGATATTACCATCGCTAGCGATGGTCTGATAAATGGTATAACCTGGCGACCAATGCTAACTCTCGCATCAGACCATCTGCCCATAATTATCTCGATCGAGAAACCTCCCGACTTTATTTCTGTGGACAACCGCACTTTTGATAACTTTAACAAAGCTAACTGGGTCGGCTTCACAGAATTTACCGAGCACACCTTCAACGCACTTCCCATTCCTTCATCGTTGGCGAGCGTCAATCCCGCTAGGTGATCGCTGCTGCTACTGCTCGCTTCATACCGGCTGGAAGAATCGCGGAACTCCGCCCTAATTTCCCAGCCGAAGCAGCTGTACTAGCAAACGAGCGCGACACCTTACGCCATGCCGATCCCTGTGATCCCCGAATAAGGGATCTCAATTTGGAGATTTGGCAAATGGTAAACCATCATAAGCGGACAAGATGGATAGAGCACCTGAAGTCCTGCAACCTCTCTACCGGTGTAAGTAAGCTTTGGACTACTATCAAGGCCCTGTCAAATCCGAGGAGATATGATGATCGGGTTGAAATTCAATTCGATGGTCATGCCTCCTCGGACCCGAAGAAGTGCGCGAGCTATTTTAGCCGGAAGTTTACACTGTACCCTTCGACTGATAAGGCCAAACGATGTGTTACCCGACGGCTGCGCAAAATGACAAAAGACTGCGCACCACTTACTTTCATCGATGGGGAGGTTCAGAGTGCCATCACAAAGGCCAAATCGTCCAAATTCATTGGCCCTGACGGAATAAGCATGCTGATGCTAAAACATCTAGGCTCGACGAGAGTAAACTACCTCACCAAGGTCCTTAACTTGTCGATGGCCACTCTTCAAATACCCGATATGTGGAAAGTCGGAAGAGTGGTCACACTACTGAAGCCTGGGAAACTCGCCAAAAAAGGGGAGTCTTATCGCCCGATAACTCTCCTTTCCTCAGTAGTGAAGACACTTGAGGCCTTTTTACTCCCGACGTTCACTCACCACCTCAGCCTAGCAGAATATCAGCATGGCTTCCGAAAAGTGCACAGCATCACCACAGCACTTAGCGTCATAAACGCCCAGATAGTTGATGGCCTAAACCAGAAGCCACCCTGCGAGAGGACGATCCTCGTAGCGTTGGACTTGGCGAAAGCCTTCGACACAGTGAACCACACAACGCTACTTGAGGACATCGAACAATCTACGCTCCCTCCAGGGCTGAAGCGGTGGACCATGAACAACCTGAGCGGTTGGCATTCATCCGTACTGTTTCGAGGTCAAAACTCCAAACTGAGAAGAATTAAACAGGGGGTTCCGCAAAGTGGTATCCTCTCCCCTTTACTGTTTAGCATCTACATCTCGAAACTCCCTCAACCATCAGAGGGAATTTCCGTGACCTCGTACGCTGATGACTGCACGATATTGACGTCGGGCAATGGAATCGATGGCATGTGCTCGAAAGTAAACGGCTATCTCTCTGATCTTTCTCGCTTCTTCTCTGCAAGGAGTCTGACACTCTCCCCCACTAAATCCACAGCGACCATATTTACGAACTGGACGAAGGAGTACAGAATGGATCTAAATATTTCAGTCGATGGCACCAAAATTCCGACAGTAAACAACCCTAAAATTTTAGGCCTTACACTAGACAGTCTTTGCTCCTTCACTCCTCACACGACCGCGATAACTGTCAAAGTACAGAGCCGCAACAAAATCCTCAATTCGCTTGCCGGCAGCTCTTGGGGAAAAGACAAAGAAACGTTGCTGGCGACATACAAGGCAATCGGCCGGCCGGTCCTACATTATGCAACCCCAGTATGGTCGCCTGGATGTAATGCGACGCAGACGAAGAAGCTCCAGACCTGTCAGAACACTGCACTTCTGACTATCACGGGATGCCTCTTGATGTCCCCAATCGAATACCTACACAGTGAAGCCCGTATGCTTCCGGTTAAGGAACATAACGAGCTCCTCTCCAAGCAGTTTCTGCTGGGATGTTTTCGTAGAAGACTAACTCATGTCAAATTTCGAGAAGATAGCTCGCGAAAAAGTTTGTATGGCAGCTATATGCTACAGTAACCCGATCTAAACAATTTCTTCGGAGATTACATTGTTGCTTAATAAAATAGATCATGCCAAATTTCTTGAAGATATTACGTCAAATAAAAAAGTTTCCCATACAAGTACTTGATTCCGATTGTTTAGTTTATGTGGCAGCTATATGCTATAGGTGTCCAATATCGGGATGCAAAATTTCAGCAGGATAATTGGGAATTGGTGTTTTTCCTATTGCTAAATTGATTGGTTTACGCTGGTACTTGTTCTCCAAGCATATTTTACAATTAACAATTACAGATTTTAAAAGCTTTTTAATGTGGGGAAATTTGCTTGAAATTCTCTTGCAAGCAACGATGATCGCGGTTATGCTCAGTGGCAACCGTTTCTAGTTGATCGTTTTTGTTTGTTAAATCTATTAACAGTAGTTCCGTATGTAAAAATTCAACTCCAGGATAAGACGATACTAAAGGATTTTGAATTTTTGCTAATGTTTCGAGATCACAATGTATTGCGTTAGTCGTATTTGGGTTTATCACATCTTTTAAACATAATAAAGTTTTCTATAGTGTCGAAACTAATTGTGTGGCGGAAAAATTTTTGGAAAAGAATTTTTGTACGTTTGTTTACAGTTGCGCCTTTTGACAAAATCAGCTGGGTTTTGAATTGATTTACTGGGGACTTTATTGTTTTAATTACGTAACTGAGAGATTGTTCGCTATGTATTGTTTCACTCAATTCACTAAGATTATTAATGAATTGCCTAGAAAGGGCATCAGCCACTATGTTTTCCCTTCCTGGCGTATAATGGAAGGTTGGTGAAAACCCCTCAACAAAGGCAAAATCGGAAATTGAAAATATAACTGGTTGATGGTCGGTAAAAATTTTTAATACCATATAGATAGTGACGGAGAGTTTTTAAAGCCCAAATTATAGCTAGCATTTCGCTTTCATTTGTAGTAAAATTTTGTTCAGTTACGGAAAGAGTACGCGAAATTATTGTTATGGGCCGATTATTTTGGGATAACACTGCACCCAAAGCGTTAGTCGAAGCGTCGGCCGTTAATTCAAATGGTTGATTATAGTCAGGATATTGTAAGAGGACATCTTCCGATTAAAGGATTTTCTTGATTTTAACAAATGCAGACAAAGCTTCTGGATCTAAAGTGATTTTAATTTTTTTTTGATGTATTTGTTCCGACGTGACCATTTTCCCCTCGTAAATATTTTGTTAAAGGCTTAACAAGGGCGGCATAATCCTTGACGAATCTACGATAGTAGCCTGCAAGGCCGAGGAAAGAGTGCAAACCGCGTAACGTCTCTGGTGTTTTGTAATTAATAATATCCCTAATCTTACTAGGACAACTCTTTATCCCATGTTGCGAGACTAAGAATCCCAAAAACTCGACACCCTCATTCCTGACGCTTTTATTTTTTTTAAAATGGTACTAATATGGACTAAATGTGATTCCGCATCGGGAGAAAAAATAATGATGTCATCGATATAAACATGACATGTTTTACCAATATTTTCTCGCAGAACATCATCTACTGCGCGTTGAAAGATACTTGGTGCGTTCCTTAAGCCGAATGACATGCGACAAAATTCGTATTTGTCATTATTTACATTGAATGCTGTCTTTTGCCTATCTCTTACGCGCAAGTTAATTTGATGAAAGCCCGA